TATTTTGCCATGCCAGGAGAACTTAACAAAAAAACTACGGTAGCTCGCCTTTTCTTCTCCTGACTGCAGGGCGAGGTTTAAGGGATCAAGAAAAAAGCAGTTAATCTTTCTACAACATTTAGTAGTATCCTTGCTTTCACCCACCCATTTTCTACAGTATTTGAGATCATTTCAGAAGCCTGTATTTTTCATAAGGACCTAATAATACTGTAGGTCCTGATGAATATAGATATCTCTCCATTAGGCACAATGATGATTGGTGAATCACTCTAATCATTTTAACAAACAACAAAAAATAAACATTTTGTGAGAATAATATTTGTGCGTATTGTTCACTTTGAACAATGAAAGATGTTACACTGCAGAAAAACCAGAATAGATTTTTTCTCTCCATAGGTTGTGTTAATGTTTTTGGCATGATTTTTATTTTATTTTAAACAATACAAAACATACTCATACAAAAGACAACATACAGATCCACACAAACATCAATGACATCACAGTGTGTAAACTGTTAGTAAATCTGCCGCCTCTCATGATGGGAAACGAAACTTCATTTGTTTGCATATTGAAAGTACGACACGCCCTTGTCATAACTTCCTCTAGAACTGGTATAAAGTAATCCGTTGAATCACTCTTACCTTACCTGTACCCTGAGATCAACATAAGATAGACATCCAGATCTGTCATTAGGTAAGTCCTTTATCCAACTAATCTTGATCAAATTTGATACGTTTTACATTTTGGTTTTAACATTCCAACATTGCATTTTGGTTATTTTTGGAATCTTTTGATGAGCAGTTTGTTTAGGATGTCCTTTGCCTTGACTATTTTAAGTCTCTTAAATCCTCTCTGTAAAATGTGCATATGATCAAAGAGTAGGTCACCAACAAAAAAGCTAAACAATTGACCGAATGCATACCATTACATTTTCATATAAACATTTAGCACCTTACGGTTTTTGTTTATAATGTTGTGAAAATAATGGAGATTTGTTACTGTCATCCATAAAAGTTAAGCTACTTCCCAACATGTCCCTTAGACAGCATAATAATGTAGACTAGCATCAGGGTCGTACTCAGACCTTTGATGGGGCAGGTGCTTATAGAAAAAAAATCACACTCACTCATCACACATTGTTGACTAAGCAAGCTAGAACCACAGATGAAAGGGAGTTACTAAAAGTATCATTGCTAGAACCACTACTTTGGTGGGCTATATCAGCGGATCATTCCAAATGTAGATGAATCAGCTAGATAGCTTTCAAAACAAGCTAACTAGTCTTTACTTGATTTGAAATTGTTCTGCTACTGACAAACAGTCATACTGCAGCTGCCCCCTTCCCTGTCCCTGAGACGACACATGCTAGCAACCCAAAGTAACCTACTACTGGCGGTATTCATTTAAAACTCACCACCCAACTCTGTAGTTAACTCGTGCATGCAGGTAAAAGGGCGGGGGAGGGGACTTTTTTCAAGATTCATGAGTTTATGAGAAATTTGTTACATTTAAAGTTACAAGAGAGAAAATAAATTAGTTTAAAAAACACCACCAATCAAAAGGGCACTTTCTTAATAGTAGGGACAAAGGGCAGGTCCTCCAGCACCCCTAGGACTCTCTCTGTGCATGTGCCTGACTGGCCATATCACTGGGGTGTTGTGCCTCTCTCACATAGCTGACAGTCCTCTCTTCTTTACAGCAGCATTTACACAACCATGTGGGCAGAAGATGACTTCACTCTTCCCTTTGGGGTAGTGCGACTGGGCCTAACTGGACCACAAGATGGTAACACCTACATCATGTACCACGGCACCTCTAAGCAGGCGGCAGATCAAATTAAGGCCTCTGGTTTTCGTCAGTCTTCTTCTGGTATGTTGGGGCGTGGAGTGTACCTCAGCCGAGACCTGGAGAAGGCAAGCAGGTACCCCCTGGATCTTCCTGAACATCAGAGGGTTGTCATTCGAGTCAAAGTCAATGTGGGCAAGGTGAAAAGAATTGACTATCAGTATCATCCTCTGCAGACAACCTGGCATGAGAATGGTTATGACACCGCCTGGGTTCCTCCTATGTGTGGTATGGTGAAGAGTGGTCTAGAAGAGGACTGTGTCTGGGACCCAAAGCGCATCACTGTCTTAAGTACCATCCAACCAAAAATGCATAAGCATCCACATCAGGCATGCAGATGATGGACAGATGGATAATGTGTAACAATATGAAAAGAAAATACATTGAATGTATTTAAAAACAATGTAATTTAGTCTCATTGACTAAAACAGCAGTTGATTTTGGCCAATAAATTGTTACAACAGTAAACCGTCATCTCTTGTTATGTCATCGATCATCATTCCATTGTCATGACTCTTCCTATGCCAATGCAGAGAGAACATTTACAAGAAAACAAAACTACGGTAGCTCGCCTTTTCTTCTCCTGACTGCAGGGCGAGGTTTAAGGGATCAAGAAAAAAGCAGTTAATCTTTCTACAACATTTAGTAGTATCCTTGCTTTCACCCACCCATTTTCTACAGTATTTGAGATTATTTCAGAAGCCTGTATTTTTCATAAGGACCTAATAATACTGTAGGTCCTGATGAATATAGATATCTCTCCATTAGGCACAATGATGATTGGTGAATCACTCTAATCATTTTAACAAACAACAAAAAATAAACATTTTGTGAGAATAATATTTGTGCGTATTGTTCACTTTGAACAATGAAAGATGTTACACTGCAGAAAAACCAGAATAGATTTTTTCTCTCCATAGGTTGTGTTAATGTTTTTGGCATGATTTTTATTTTATTTTAAACAATACAAAACATACTCATACAAAAGACAACATACAGATCCACACAAACATCAATGACATCACACCTGCCCAGACCCACCTGTTCTCTCCCCTATCTCCTGCACTACCCTCCGCCACATGTCCTAAAATTGCACCATTTTGTTCCTCTCCAAGTAAATTTACATTATAGTACTTCTAACTCCACCCATAGTTTTTGGACTTTATAATATTCCCAGAAGGCAATTTCGAAATTGAAATTTCGTGATATGAAACTTTTAAGTTGTATGTATACTGAACAAAAATATAAATGCAACATGCAACAATTTCAAAGATTTTACTGAGTTACAGTTCATTTAAGGAAATCAGTCAATTGTAATAAATTCATTAGGCCCTAATCTATGGATTTCATATGACTGGGCAGGGGTGCAGCCATGGGTGGGCATTGGAGGGCATAGGCCCACCCACTTGGCAGCCAGGCCAACCCACTGGGGAACCAAGCTTTTTGTGCATATGGAACATTTCTGGGATTTTTTTATTTCAGCTCATGAAACATGGGACCAACACTATACATGTTGTGTTTATATTTTTGTTCAGTGTATTTGAAAATATCTACATTGGTCAGTCCAAAATTGCTTTTTAATTCTGTCATGTTTAACTTTCTTCCATATCGTTATAGTGTTCTTAACTATGAAGTAGTAATGTTCTTAGCTTTATCCTTTGAAAATAAAATCTTCAATAATGACCAATTGTTCCTCCTTAGAGCATTTAACAATTTGTCTCAAGTAAAATCCTTTGGTGGAGAGTTGATACAATTCCAGGTCTGGGAGGTGAAAGCCACCCTCAGACTTAGGGATATGTAAAACTTTCCTTTTTATTCTATGAGTTTTATTTGCCCATATAAAGTCTGTTATGACCGAGTATACTTTTTTAAAGAATGTCTTCGGTGGGGTAATTGGTATTACCGAGAATAAATATAAAACCTTTGGGAGCCATGCCATTCTGAAGAGGTATATTCTACGTGTAAGATTAATGGGAACATTTTCAATTTTGGTCAGATATATCAGGAGATCATCTGCAAATAGGTGTAGTTTATATTAATCTTTACCACTACTGATACCTCTTACGTTTGGATCCTGTCTAATTCTTTCTGCAAGTGGTTCAATTGCCAGTGCAAACAGGTCGGGGAGAGAGGACATCCCTGTCTTGTACCCCTTTCTAAAGCAATTTCATCAGATAATGTATTATTTGTGTATTTTAGCTTTAGGATATTTATATAATATTTTAGTAGCGTGTGTTTCTTATGTGTCATGTTAGTGAGAGTTTGCAGCAGGGTAACTGTGCACTTCAAAACAGGCTAGAAAGCATGAGCATCACAGCACAACAATCTCATCTTCTATAATAATATTTAGTAGGTTAATCTCCCAGGAAATAAAGGCATCAACATACTGTTAACATACAGTACATGTGTAATATTTCTTTCCTCGTTTGTTTCTAGTCTTTC